GACTGCGAGACTTTGTCGTAACAACATACGAGAACAAACCTTTCGATGTCCATTAGATGGTAGAGGCCACCCCCACAGTTATTGGTGGAGAGATCCTTGACCATTCTCAATGCGTCGATGGTATTGGCGCTTTCCATTCCTTTGGAACTTTGCGGCAGCATGGTTTCTTAGCTGAACGCAAAGAGAAACCTCAACATGGGATAGCACAAATGCCATTACTAAACAATCATGGCTTTTGCCATGCAAACACAGATTTTCCTGTTTGGTCAAGTTTTTGTTGAAAGAAGTCAATCGAACGATCATCGCGGATCACGGCGGATGTTGCCAAGTGGATGCTGGGGGGTTTCCGGATCAAAGCTGAGAGCCCTTTCCTCGTCAGGTACTTGGCGAATGCGGAGTGGTGGCAGTTGGAAGAGCTGCATGCGAGGCACGATTTGTTTTGCAAGGTCCAAACCTTTTAGGAACAGTGGGTTGGGAGAACCTGATAAGAACTTGCCATCAAGGCGCTTTTCATCCGTTCTTGTCTCTTCGTTCGGCTGCTTCGGCTGCAGGCTGACGTCGGATTGGGCCGAGTTGGATGGTGCGCCACTTAAAAAGTGGGCGCAAAGCCATCAGTTGGAGGAATTGCTCCTCGGCTTGACAAGAACTTTGCCGCTCTTTGGCAGGCGATTTCTTGTTTCTAATAGCTTCTTGCTTTTAGTAGTAAGGCCAGGAGCCCCTAGCAGCGTCCTTGCTCCTAGTAGCGATGCCCTTTGCTCCTAGTAGCGTCCTTCCTTTGGCGACCAGGAGAAGGCCCAGACTTTGGAAATTGGTTTTTCTGTTCAAGGCGATGTGAGCCGGATCAACGTGTCTTTTTCGTGGAAGGAGACCTCAAACGCATTTCGTTTCCTTAAAACCAAGCCATTTGGTTGAATTGATGTTGGGATTATATATTACAAAGCAGGTCGTGGGTTGCAAACTCAGTGTGTATCTCAACTTCTTTAAGGCTATCCCCCGATCATGCCAAGTGTACTTTCTCATCCACAAGGCAGCGGACCCTTTGCGAGAGCTCTGCATGCTATCAGCACCGCTTTCTGCGAGCCGTGCGGGAGCATTTGAGTCAAGACTTGAGCGGTTGCTGGGCGTTTGAGGAATGTTTCAGAGCCACATCTTGGGCGGAATCGATCCCAACGATCCAAACAGCGTGCTGTTGAAACCTACTCTACTCGCGATGCCATCCAACCTACTAGCGACGGCCCCCCAACCTACTAGCGATGGCTTCCAACCTACCAGCAAGGGCCCCCAACCTACTAGCGATGGCCTCCAACCTAAGAGCGGTGGCCTCCAACCTACTAGCGATGGCCTCCAACCTACTAGCGATGGCCCTCCAACCTTAGAGCGATGGCCTCCAACCTACTAGCGACGGCCTCCAGCCTAAGAGCGATGGCCTCCAAGCTACTAGTGATGTTCTTTTTAACTTCGAGAGGCGCCGGCTTAGGCAGCTTGGAGCCCTTTGCCGCCCTGTTCCTCGCGACCTCTTCTCGTGATGCCTGCTGCGGACTGCTGAAGAGCATTGCCTGGGCCGTGCTGGAGGACTGGCACCGTGCAAAGGAGAGCTGGCAACATGCTGAGGCTGGAAACGTGGTGATGGGTTGGGAGAAGTGATTTTCTTTCGTTTGAGGGGAGTAGATAGATATTGGATGGATTGGATGCAGGGTATAGTAGAGTCATTAGTAAATAGTCATGACTGTAGTCAAACATTGGAGATAATGTCTAGATTGAATTTTTCCAGGCGAGCTGCAGTCATGAGATTTGGCCGCTGTCTTGCAGTCTGGTTGACTAGTTCACACTAAACACGATTCACATCGCTAGTATTAACAAGTGCCTTACTGGTAGTAACAAGGACGCTAGTAGAAACAAGTGCATCGCTACTATTAACAAGTGCCTTACTAGTAGTAACAAGAAGCTATTATTCTTATTTTTTTTAAAACTAATTCTAATGGGCTTCTTTGTTACTACTAGTAAGGCACCTGTTACTACTAGTGAGGCACTTGTTGCTACTTGATTTGACATTACGAGGCTTCCGATCGCTTCGATCGCTTCGTTCCCTCCGTCCCGTTCGAATCCACGCGGCCCCGAACGTCGCAAGGCTCACCAGTTGGGCTTGGCTGCTCCAGGGGGCGTCGAACTTCTGTTCTTAGCCAGACGCTGGGGCGCGCCAAGCGCTGTGTGTGAGCTTGGGGATGCAATCCAGCAGGCGTTTTGTGAAGAGTGTTTGATGATGTGGTTGTTTGCTTTCCATCGTTGTCACTCTGATTGTCCATACTTCTATGCTTATTTATTGTTGCGTAGTATATCAGTATATTGGAGGCCATGGCTTCTAGGTTGGAGGCCATTTCTTCTAGGTTCCATGCTTATTTATTTTTAGTGGATCGCTCGTTTCCTTGGTAGCATCCTGATTCAGGTCATCGACGACTGGAAGCAGGACGAGACTCGCTGCCAGCATGCGGCTGTGCTTGAGATCCACGACGGCCGGACTCCTTGGGAAGTGACGCGTTTCCGGACCCCTTGGGAAAGAGTGGGATCCGCTGCGAGGTTGACATGCTTAGCTTCAAGCCTTCTTCGGATCCGAAACCAGAACAAGAGTTCCATAGCTCGAGACACATCCAGGATGGCAACAATTGGCTTTGTAGACTTCACTGTTCTAATTAATGCGCTAATTTGTTCTGAGAATCGAGTTGTCTTGTGTAGAGGAAGAAGACCACCGCCTGATAATTTCAGCGAACATGCATCACCGAGAAGAACCACATGGTCTATGGTGGTGGTTTGTATAGACCAATGAGAGTCTGTCTCAGGTCAAGGGGATCTCAAAACACTAGATTTGCTGTGATCTCACTCTCGGAGATGTAAAAACCGAGAATCGAGAACTACTCAGTGTCATCCATATTTCCCCTTGATTTGTGAGTGCAGCACATGCCAGGCGCCGGCGGCGCCGGCGCCCGCTGTGCAGCCCTGGCGCTCTCCGCGCTGAAGGCCGCCTGCGCCACTTGCGCCACCTGCGCGCCCCGCAGCTTCGTGGTCGGTTCCGCGGTGGAGCCGATCCAAGAGGTCGGAGTGGAGGAGCTGCCGAAAGACTTGGAGTTGGTGCCTGGGAAAAGAAAGGTGTTGGGGTGTTTTGCTCTAAGACTCTAAGAGTTTAACTTCGGCATGTTGGATTGGATGGTTCATGTGGGCCTGCTGCCTGCTCAAGGCATTTTTGAGCTTTAGTGCCGGAGCCGAGGCCATAGTAATTGTGGAGCGGGCTCACGGCCAACTTCAAGCATTGAAGTCTTTGGCGACTTACTTGAGTCTTGTTTGCACCAAGACAGGTTTGACTTCTCAAAGGCCAACCTCATTATTTGTTTGTTTTGGCGATCCCATGCGTTGTTCATCTCTTGAAGCATGTGCCAGAGTAGTGGCTGAAATAAGATTGTTTGGTAATGAAGTCTTTCCTCCGAGGCTGTCTCGTTCTCTAAATTCGACCGTGTTCGTTCTACACAAACAGGTTCTTCTGGGAAGGAGATGGCTGTAGTAGCGATGCCCTTGTTCCTAGTAGCTTCTTGTTACTAGTAGTAAGGCCAGGACCTACTAGTAGCGTTCTTGCTCCTAATAGCGATGCCCTTTGTTCCTAGTCGCCAGTCTTAAACTGTGAGAGATCAGCTCGTTGTAGCAATATGGGGATGGGTTTTTTCTCCGATGGTATTCAGCGCCAATTTGTGAGGGCAGGCCATTCATTTAACCCACTATCATATCTTGTTTTGCTTTTCATTTGTTTAACACCCTACCTATTATAAACACTTTGAGGCCTACTTTTCTAACCCTAGTTCCATGTCCAAAAAGACGGTCCGGTCAAAAGAGTGGGTTTCCCAATAAAGCGGCTCCTTCAGAAAACCGAGTTCCACGAGCTCGAAAAACGGTCAAAAAAGCGAGTTCCCGGGTTACACAAATTGGTTCAGGACAAGTTGTTCAAAAGGTTTCCCAATATGCAGAATGCCGGGCTGTAAGGAACTCTGATCAAGTCTTCGGCATCCTCATCCGCCTCCAGAATCCGCGCATTGACCCTGAAGCTGATGATCCACTCTCCATCTATGAATTCTTGGTCTGGCATGGTTTCCGTTACTTGGTGGACCTTTTACATGGTTTGAAGTGAGAATGAAGTGCTTTTTGTGGGTGCATGACACCAACTTTGCCTCTTCCGCAAGCAATGTGGAAAATCCATTCATCCCAACGTCAGTGGATCAGAAGCCATGTGCTGCCCCTGACACGAACTCCATCAGCCTTTGTTTTTCCCGCACGGCCGTGCTGCCGAGGCGTTGCAGATGTGAGTGCCCCGTCGGGGTCCGTGTTCCGCTCCGTTGGCGAGATGCAGCAGGCGGCCGCCTCGGCCGCGGCTGCGGGCGCGACGCTGCGCCTGGTGGCGCGCCCACGGCGTCGGGGTCCGGTGGCAGTGCCTCCAGGAGGGGTGTTGGTAGGGAGGCTGAGGAAATGCGTTTCAAATGGAACTTGAAAATGATATCCGATATCCAACAGCACCCCTTTAGAAAAGCACAGGAGGAGAATGCTCCTGGCCTGCGTGATTTGGTGTTCAGCCGGGGTCTCAGGAGCGGTGATGCAGGAGAGCTGTTTGATGCTCGACCGGCCCAACAGCTGGGCTGAGGTGCGAAGCGTCGGACATCAGGTTGGAAACACCTGGACCTAACACCTGGAGAAAACACGTGGAACAATCAATTTTGAGCAATCTTGATCACTTCATGAAATTCATGTAACAAGGGCGTCGCTCCTAACGGAGCAAGGACGCTACTAGTAGCTCCTGGCCTTACTACTAATAGCAAGAAGCTACTAGTAACAAGGGCATCGCTATTAGTAGCTATTTGCTCCTAGTAGTAATGCACTTGTTACTAGTAGTAAGGCACTTGTTACTAGTAGCGATGCACTTGTTACTAGTAGCGCTCTTGATTAAAATCGCCTCCGACCTGGGCCAGGTTGATATGGCCCCGATCGAACGCCGGGTGTCCTCTTGGGCAGCCTGGGCGAAGCGCGCGGGTCAGCGGCCGCGGATTGGCCGCTGGACGAGTTGGTTTCGAAGCGGACGGGGCTGTCCTGAGTATCTTTCGACTTTGCAGACCAAAAAGAAATGGACCTAGTAGCTTCTTGCTCCTAGTAGCGATGCCCTTTGCTCCTAGTAGCGTCCTTGCTCCTAGTAGCGATGCCAGGAGCCCCTAGTAGCGTCCTTGCTCCTAGAGTATATATTGTTTCTAATAACTTCTTGTTACTACTAGTAAGGCCCTTGCTCCTAGTAGCGATGCACTTGTTCCTAGTAGAAATGGAGAGGGTTATTCAAAGGATTTCGATATTCCAAGTCATTCCAAGGTGCGCCATTAAATGTACGTTTCATTGACACCACTGTTCCACCGTCTTGACGCCTTCAGCCATGGAAAGCGCCACCCAAAGAGACCTGAGGTGTGATGTTGTCGTCCAATGCCTTCAGCCACAATGAGTTCGTGATGGGCGCCCAACTGTTGGCACATCCGCATGTCCAGGCCAATCGCCGTGGAGCGTTTCGAGCGTTTCCAAAGTCGACGAATCCACGGAGGTTCTTTGCAGCCAGGTGTCTCAGCCTGCTGAGATGGCCTCCAACCAAAGAGCGATGGACTCCAACCTAAGAGGGATGGTCTCTCGATGGCCTCCAACTAGGAGGCCTTCCACAAGTACGGTGATGAGATGGCAGGAACAGCAGGAATGTTCCAAGGCTCAAAAGTAACTCTCCTTTTCACTACCAAGGATCCATATATTGACGTGGGCAGAGATTTGTTTTGCCTACTGTGTATATTTGATATTTGATATCCGAAATCCATCTCCAAAAGCCCAAAGGCCTGATTCTTTAGACTTGGTGATCATGATTGCATGCACTGCTTGCTCCTGTGCTCCTCAGGGCTTCAACACGTGTGAACATATGCCAGGCGATCTTCCCTTTGAGCTTTCACCACGCATTGCAGCTGGGGCCTTTGGGCCAAACTCACAGGACAAGATTGCTTCTTGGGGGCTCGCAGAGCTATGAATCATTGAAGCACATGTAATGCAACACTTGAAGCTTTGCAATGCAGCTTTCCCTTTCCGTTTGATGCCCAACAAAAGCCTCCAGACCAGAAAACGGCATATGCACAAGAGCAAACATCATTTGTGCTGACCCCCATCACACCTCAACACTCTGCCCTGTCAAGGAAGCAGGTGGTGCTCTTCAACCAACCACCTCTGCACCTTCTTTGCCGCCTGGCAGCTGCCCATGTCTCCATCGCCATCCAGTCCTTCCGCTGGCTGCTCCGTCTGGCACGCGGGAACCAAGGGGGGGCGGTGCAGCACGCCGGTGAAGCTGCATTTGGAGGTGGACACCGGCATCGGACGCACGGGTTTGTGACTTGCAGGGAATGGCGCACATGGTTAACATGTTGGTTAACATGTCAACGTGTTTGCCCTTTGCACATGTAACAAGTGCCTCGCTACTATTAACAGGTGCCTTACTAGTAGTAACAAGAAGCTACTAGAAACGAGTGCCTCGCTGGTAGTAACAAGTTGGACCCTGACTCAAACTTCTTCGAGGAGGAAGGCCCTGACGGTTCGGACAATCTGCATCCCCCGAGGAAAGGTGTCCTGGCAGCGGGTCACCTGGTGGCCAATGCACCGTGGCTCCGGTTGGAGGGGCTCCATACCAAGCTTTGCTGTAGCAACGACGCTTCTGCCACGGTGTCCCGGTCTGGGTTGAAGGGAAGGAGTGGCAGTGAGGAACCTCCTAGCGATGGCCTCCAACCTAAGAGCGATGGCCTCCAACCTGAGGAGGTTTTTCTTAGACCATCGGTTGGGCTTGGCGAAGTGCAGATGGGAACCTTTCAAGAAAGCACTTTTCTAAGAGTGAGGGCTTTTATGTAAATCATGCGCACAGTACTCATTGGAGTGGATCTCTGTTTTGTGTCACGCAGTATCACTGGTCATTGGTACAATGACGTGTACAAGAGAAGTTGTTTGAGCTCCTCCATATCGCATGATCCTTAAGCTGATAAGCCGATAAGTCTGCCTTGCTGCCTTGCTTCCTTCCAAGTCCAAGGCCCGCTCCTTGCTTTACCTGAAATCCCTGGAGCTCCGTCTGCGCGGTTTTCTCCGGGGCTTACGCGGCGGCAAACGCGCCGCATTCCGCGTGCATGTGGGTGGCGGTTTGGCGGCCAACCTGGGCGTGGCGGAAGCGTTGAAACACTTTCGCGGGTGGACAGTGCGGCTGGGAGAAGGCATCTTCCAGGCGGGGTAGGGAAGGATAAACAAGCAAGCTGGTGTAGTGATTTTGGAATTGGAGGGGCTCAATGAAGTGAATTATACGATGAATTCACAAGCAGCATTTTTTAGCTGCGCTGAAGCTGGGGGCTAGCCTTGGACAAATCACGTTTGCTAGTGGCACTGGTCTTGCACTGGTTTGAATGGGGTAGAAGGCATGGGCTTTGTTCTACATCAGCCACAAAAAGAGCGTGTGTGGCTTGGGGAACAGCTTCAGGAAGTGGGAGGGTAAATCCATCGGAATGGACAAATCCGGTCTCACCCTCCCAAACGGTCAGGCAGATTTGACGAACCGGCAGTGCCGGTTCGTTCCCAAGGCGGTTGGTTCTAGGCGTCCAACGCTGAAATGCCTTAGGGATCACCCAAAGTGTGGCGAGCCCTGTGAGATCCCAAAGGCTGAGCCGCGCGGATCCACCCGCCCTTTCGTACAGGTGGTACGGGCCCACAACATGGGCAGTACAAAGCAGGGTGTCGTATAGGCAGTTCTTCGCAAAGCAGCTTGTATACGCTTGACCCCAGGACAGTGCACCGCTAGTTTGCTCAATAGCGCAAACCGCGGCTTCTTTTGTGGTTCACCGTGACTATTTCGACCTTTTCGATATTTCTCCACCCAGTGCCACGTGTGTGATGAAAACTTCCAGATACTTTTCAAGTCTTTTCGATCTGAATCTCTTAGTAACAAGAAGCTACTAGGTTGGAGGCCATTACTACTAGTAACAAGAAGCTTTTTAGGTCTTTGTGAAGCTTCTTAGTAACAAGAAGCTACTGATTTTGTTGCCAGGAACAGGAGAGTCTCAGCTGGTGATTTGGATCAACGTTCAGTATGTTTTTTTTGTTTGTTTCGCTTTGCACTTTGCACAGGTTGCTTCCCCCCCTAATCCCGCAACGAGGCAGAGTTCTGAGGTGCTAGATTCCCTAGGCAGTCTTGAAGACCAGTCCTGGTGAATTTGTTTTAACCAAACATCTTTTCACAACATCTTTTGACAAAGAGTCGCCCTAAAGAGTCGCCACACACTTTGGTTCGCCGGAATCTACACGTTTGCATTGGAATATGCTTGGAGGCAGAGCCCTTCAACGTGTTTCTTCATGCGTGTGGAGTTTCCACACAAACAGTTACTTTGTGCTTGGTTTTGCACAGTGACTTGACTTGTCGGAGAATATCACCTGCCTTAAAGCAATTGAACATTTCAACCGTTAGGACCGTTAGGATTCCCTACCAATCCGTTTTGAGACTGAGACACACTTTTGTTTGATTTTTCCTTGGCTGGACCACCCTTAGTCCCCAAATGATCAAGCAAACCAGCAGGCATACGACCATCTCTGCACTGCAGCTGCTCAAAGACTCCACGCTCCTCGGCTACTGCGATGCCGGCACTGACTGTGGTGCGCGCCCGGTGGCGGCCGGGTGGGCGGCGGTGCTGCCGGTGGGTTTCGCGGAGTTCCGAGGGGAGGCGAGGGAGACTCGGAGCTTTTGACTTCATGTGGACAGCTCCTGAATGTATCCTGAAAAAGGGAGGGGGAACGGCAGCGCGGTGGAAGCGCTTGATGCCAGACAACTCCCCACTACTCAGCCTCGGAGGTGGTGTGGAGCTCATCTGGGACAGAGATGCGTGTGCTGAACTCGGGCGCCCCTTGGATTGCAAAGGGAACGAGCTCTTCAAGCGCCTGAAGTTAGATGGATTTCCTCAAGTCATGACAGTCATATATTTTCCTCCAAGTTTTTGAGATGAGCTCTACTCTAGAAGGCCACATGTAGCATGTCGCCAAGGCCAGCACGACTGTAGTGCAACTGCCGTCCGAAGCGTTTGCACCATCCACGGTGCCGGGCTTTCGCGTGGGCGACGTGGTGACGCTCTGCCGGCGCTGCCCGCAGCACGCGGTGCCCTGGGCCGTGCCACGGCGCCTGCGACCCACTGCGGCGCCTGCGACGCCTGAAGAGTGCTTTGCGCTGGCGTGGTGAAGAACGTGAGCTGCTTTTTTTCGGAGACGAATCAGGAGAGGTTTCTGAGACTTCGTTGATATATCACGAAAGCCAGCCGGTAGGCTAGGCTGAAGTTGGGTTAGGCCAACGAAGGGTGGTCGCACACCCCAGAGCCTGGTGGGGAAGTGGCCAGGAGGTAGTGAAAATGAATGGTTTTTTGGGGTGTTGTGATGCAAGTGATGTAATTGACAGCCAGTAGTGCACCATCAGCATCATGAGGGGCTCAGGTACCAGGGGTGGGAGTTTATGTTGACGATAGGAAAGAGGGGACAACGGGACGCGAAAAGTGATTGGAAATGCTCCAGCAAAGGGAAGGCGCGTCTGGTGGCCATTGAAATGGTGATCGACCAGGGGTGTGAGGGCAGGAGAGGGAATAGAATGCTGTGAGGAAGGTGGAAGATAGGCATAGCGGAGGAGGATGGGTAGGAACAGAGGGTTTGCAACAAATCTGGGCGTTGCTTGGGATTGCCCTTTTCGAACGGTAGAGATGCCTTTCAACCACACGCAAAAGGGCATCCCATACAGGGGTGCGAGTTCATGTACTGAGGGGCAGGAAAGAGAACAGAATGCAGCGGGCAAGCTTTGACTTGCTTGCGGGTGCCCTTTTTTAACGGTGAAGAGGGCAAAAGTTGCGGGACTGAAAAGGGCACCCCATATGGGGTGGGAGTTTATGTGGATGAGACAGGCACAGCGGAGGAGGAATATCTCCTACCAGGGGTGGGAGTGTATGTCGACGATAGGAAAGAGGGGCCACCCACAGCCATCTTTGCTCATTGTCTGGCAACACGCAGCAGGCAAGCGCCCCTCAGTTCCTTAGGGGTGCCCTTTTTCAGTTTGAAGCGCCCTTGAACCAAGAGTAAAAAGGGCACGCCCCCCAAACCTATGTGTTCGGTTTTCTATTTCTACCCCTGTCGGGGTGGATGCAATGTCGACTTCACCCCATAGCAAAGGTACTCTTTGCCCGGTGTTAGCCAATCACTTGATCTTGCACGCCAAGTTTTTGAGTTCCAGTGCACTCTCGATTTCACCCCCCATTGCCATATTGATGTCTTCTTATGGAGGCTGGCTTTCGTCCCCTCCTTCTCAGGTACAATTCATATTAATATGTAGTTGGGCTATTGAGCTGCTCCCATGGGATGTTGATGGCTCCCCAAGCTGTCTATGGCCTCCTGAAGCGACCTGGGAGGATTTCCACGACGTCTGGAGGTTTGGAGCTCACAGAAGTCAAGCTGCATCAGTCCATTTTGGTTGAATGCTGCACTCTTTCTTGCAACGTTCCGACTGCAGTGATGCTTAGCAAAGTTAGGTTTTTTTCACGACATACAGTGTAATACAGTGATGCATCGCCTGGTTGCTGCTGATGCACGTTTCGATCGTCTCACCGGAGTTTGCCAATATCTTTGACCTCAACAGTGAGATGTGACTGTAACAGTGATACTTGATGCTAAGGACATGTGAGACCCCCACTTTCAAGTTGCTGTGCCATACACGTACAGCACGACTTCGGCGAAGCTGCGAAGACTGCGAAGACTGGACTCGTTGGAGTTTGGAGTTGAAGTAAATGGTGAAGAAGTTGGATGCGATCCACAACTCATAGAGTTGAGAGAGGACGGGCGCCTATGACGTCTGGCAGCAAAAGTCGCAGTCTGCCGTCATTTTAGGCAATTGCTTCACTCCTAAGAATCCCTACTTGGAGGCCACCGCTAGTAGGTTGGAGGCTAACAAGCGGGTCGTTGCAATCAGGGGTCCAGAGTCCCGAAAGGGTGAATCGAAAGGAACGACCTTAGGAACGACCTTTGGTGCTCCATTTATTTCCAGCACCTCTCTTGGCAGTCATGTCGGTGTGGTTCTGCGTTGCTGTTGTGAGCCTCTGAGTTGCAGCCCTTTTGCTTGGCTCAGCTTATCCCGGTCATGGAAAGCTATTGGACTTACCGAATTGAACCTCACCTGACTACTCAAAAACCCTAACTGATCTCAACCACTCACTGGCAAAGACATAGACACACTTTACAAACTGGAAATACACCAAGCCTGGACACAGAGCCACTCCACTTTCATGGATATCTTCCGATGAGCCATATAATTCATTCTTATTTGAGCAGGTGGCTTTGGACACACTAATTTTGTAGCGGGTGGCAGAGTCCCAAACACCTTTTTATGGAGACCTCCATCAACGGTTTAGGATCATATGACAGCAAAGGCGAAACGCAGTGAAACGGGGAGCTTGTCTGTAGTTCGGAACCTCGCTCAGCCCGATGACGGCTCCCTTGCGAGGCCATGCTTCAGTTGAGCTGAAACTGGCACCAGTAAAGCACTACCTGGTGACAATGTGGACATTCCAACGGACCAACGGAAGATTTGGGCGCTCATATGAAACACTGATCCCCAACTTGTCCAGGAAGATACTTCAAGGCACGACCATTGCTGGCCGAAACTCACGGTCTTCAGCCCTGTCCCCCAGATTTGGTTTGCAGGCATATTGGCCTTGTGCCTGGCCGGCGGCGCCGCTTTCGTAGGCGTGTTCACACCGCCCGAGACTGCTTTGATCGGAGGGCAGGAGGGACTTGCCAAAGGGTAGAGTGAATACCCTCTTTGTGCGCAAGCAAGACTGCCGCTGCTTGTGAAGACTACTTCCAATTCTGTATCCACAATCACCTTGACATTGGCCAAGAAAACTGGAAGAAGGAGGTACTGTCTTGTTTGCATCATTTGAATTATATAAGTTATATAAGCCCTTGAGGGAACGTTGACTCTGACGCGGTAGAATGGTTTCAGTGGCCCCCAAAGGCATGCAATACATCCAAATGCAGGCACCTAAGTATAGACGCTGGAAAAGAGTCTGCCATAGAGAAACTTTTGAAAAATGCCGTCGCCAAAAGCCTCCATCTCACCATACATAACTTCCCAACATCCCAGATTGATCACCTCAGACCTCCAATCCAGTCTCATTGGAGGCCATCGCTCTTAGGTTGGAGGCCGATTGCCCTTCAATCCACTCTACTCATCCATACTCATCCACTCTACTCTGTCCGCTCCAGGCGGTGGCCTCTTTGGCTCCACCCGCCGCACGACCGCGACGCCGCGGCACGGCACGCAGATCGCGGAGCCGCCGACGCCCACCGACACGGAGGCGGACTACAGGCGGGAAGGAGGGGAGCGGGCCGGAAGACGGACGGGGAGTTCTTTTGTTAGCTCGCGTTCTTTTCTTAATTAAGGGCTAGCCAAACATAGCTAAACGAGTAGTGGACGAAAGCTCACGCACTATTCATTTGTTACTGAAGAATGCTGGGGTGAGAGGTGGGGATATGAGGCTGCTGATTGTTGACGAGGCGAGTGGGGTGAGAAGCAGGAAGGTCAGCATACAGGAAGCAAGATTCCAAAGTTTCCCATAAACGGCAAACACTTGTGGTTCATCCCATGCCTATGCTACGAGACTTTGAAGGTCTGATAGAACCAGCTTACAGGCACCATTTGTGCCATGTGCAGGTTTTTGAGTGTCCACTATCAATTTTGAAACTAGGGCCGCTAGGGTTACCGCTGCTGTGGGGTAAATAGGAACTAGGACCTTTGTTCATGTCGGAAGAGATGACTTTATCTAGACTATATCAATCGATTAAACATATGAACATCTCGATGACAACTGTTTGGGATACGTCGAAAAAAAACAGAAGAATCCGATCCACAACTCTGCCACCTTCGCCCCAGGCGATCCCCCTTCGCCCAGTGTCTTGTGGAGTTCAAGAGGCTCCGAAAAAAGCCAGTGGGGCGGAGAGCCTGCCTGCGGTGATTTGAGTTGCTAATCAGTCTTCTTTCTTCTTATTTCTTTCTTTCTTTCTAGAAGAAGAAGAAGAAGAAGAAGAAGAAGAAGAAGACGAAGACGAAGACATGCGAAGAAAAACGGAAGTTGCAAATCAGGGCCAAATACAAGTCTAAGTACGTGGGGAGACAAAATCTTTCCTTGGTCCCAACCTCTGCCCAGAAGTGAGGTTGTTGATACTCCCCTCAGAATGCGTGAATGTTTTAGGGTGATAGTAACAAGAAGCTATTAGAAACAAGTGCCACGCTAGTAGTAACAAGTGCCTTACTAGTAGTAACAAGAAGCTACTAGGAACAAGTGCCTTGAGAGATAAACAAATTCACACCTGAGATGTTTTAGGGTTCGATGTCTCGACGTAGACATCCTTTGATCGCCCATTGATCGCCCTTGTGAGGAGTCGACCTACTTGGAATGTCACGAAACAATGGACAATGGATTCAATGGATACAGATAAAACACGAATCTCCTTGGAGAAGGAGTGATAAGAATCAGCGTCATGAAGGATTCCTGACCACATTAGCTTCAAAGGGGCTTCAGTTCAGCCATCAGCTTTCTTCACCTGGCCACCAAGTGCTGGTCATCATGTCCTCATCATTTCTAGTCCGAAGGGCTCCTAACCCACCCAGCAACTTCGGCTCGCTTCGCAGGCAAGATGGTTCGTTGCATGGGGAGTCGTGGCTCTTCCACATGGATGCAGCCTTTGAAGACACCCAGAGGTTGAGGGAGACGCTCACATCGAGTGGAGCGTTGGGTGACGTCGGGTGACGTGGTTCCGAAACACCCATCGTGTTTCGTTCGGGTGGTTTTGAAGGACATGTGAAGGACTATTGGAAGGAAGTCATATGGTCCAAGTTGTTGTTTAAGGATCAACATCAGCCCCGGGCACCATCACTGGTGCATAATCTTCATTAAGCTCAACTAACCGACAGCACCCAGCTGTTGGATCGAGACCACAGACCGATCTGGCCAGGGCCGAGAAGAAGCCCAGCTTCCCGCGTTTGTTGAAGAAGAGCTCCTACATCTGGGGCCGCAACACCAATGTCAGGCCGAACTCGCGATGGGACATTTAAGAGTGGAGGTGGGAGTATGTGGAGAAGGCACAAAACTGTGACTATTCACATCCTTTGTTAGGTACCAATGCTGCGCGCAGCAAAAGTCTTTCATTCATCCATTCAGCCTCCACCCTGAAGTTTCGGATGGCAATGGACGAATAGCTTTGGTTGTCATGGCGATCACCGATGATTCATTTTCCATCGAGTGTTTTTGCAGACATCCATGGCTCATTCCGCAAAATACTCAGACTCATCACCAAAAGCATCAAAACACCCATTCCACCAGTTTCTTGTTCAAGTTGCAGCACCTACGTACTCCAAGCCATCTCCCAGCTGCATGACCAGAACACAACCGAACCGCGGCACGATCCGCGTCGTTTCGAAAGCTGCAAGCTGCCGACCAACGGCCTGGCCTGGGCTTTGCCACTGGCGTCCCAGGTGTGTCCCTTTGGACTCCTTGGTCAGTGTGGGTGGCAGCTGCTTGGAATGTGTGCGCCTCTTCGTGGGTGGCATCTATGGTGGTGGTGTCATCGCAGCTCGATGCCGGATGAACCGTGTCGGTGAGTGTGATTTCGTCCTCACATGGTCTTACAGGGTCCCAGTGCATTTGGGCTTGTGCCCCTTGTGGTGTGGTTGCAGATGATCGTTGGAGTATATGGGCTCTTTTTTTATTACATCAATCAGAATACACATTCGGTGTGGATGGGCAAGCTGTATATTTGGGGTGGTTTGGGTCCATTTTTTAAACATCTGCATTTTGATTGGGCCCCACTAGCAAGAAGCTACTAGGAGCAAAGGGCATCGCTACTAGGAGCAAGGACGCAACTAGGGGCTCCTGGCCTTATTACTAGTGAAGGTATCATCTAGACCGAGCCCTTTTTTGTTCAGACTCATCCAATGAGAGCGACGCGACCCTCAAACCCCGGCGTTCAGTTGGTCCGAGGTGCCAGCTGTGGACTATGGGGAGCCCAATAAGACTGATTGGCAGCCCTCGGAGTGTCTGCAGCTACGGGTCTTTGGACAACCACCTGTGGGAGATGACATCAAGTATGCGGAGACAGGTGCGACAGAGTGGGTGAGAGGATAAGGGCCGATCAGGGCCACAGCAGAGGAATCAGGTGCTTGGTGAGTTATTCCAAAACTAATTCTACACGATAAAACCCTTTACAATGAGTGGGTACTTATCCATGATCATCAACCCATGTCGCACTTTTCTCTGCCTGACGGCCGGTCGTAGGTGGTGGCACCGCAGCGGGTCACGAACAGCGGATGAGCACCTTTTGCCGGGTCGCGAGCTTTCCACACCTGGGCTGAAACACTCCCAGGATGGGACTTCAACACGATGTCGAGATTTGGTGTTGTGCTTGGTATTGCACATAGATTTGAGGGGGAATTGCGTAATGGCGTTTGTATATTTCTGCGTGTTGGAGGGGAACACTGCTTGGTGTGTTATTTTTTGGAATCCAAAAAAACCAGGGACCCTGGGAGTCCTTCACTACAACGGTCTCATCTGTGCTGGTTTGGAGCCGTGCTGCTTTGGAGCTCTGGGACCTAATAGCCATGGCCTCCAACCGTTCGTCACGTCCGACCGCTCCGTTCGTAGCGATGCCAGGGAGCTCCTAGTAGCGTCCTTGCTCCTAATAGCAATGGCCTTCAACATGAGTTTCCATGGATTCCACGGGTTCACGGTGCAGTATCTGCACCCTCGCAGCATCAGATTGTGCTTGGACCGTCCTTGCTGGGAGTGTAGCTTGCTCTTTTGGAACCCTCATTGACCAGTCTCCTCAGACATCAAGCCATTTGCAGCCCAAAACATTGGACACGCGGGGACCGTTTTGTGACACTGCACTCAGAATGCTGAATCAAGGTGTTTATCTTCACATGCTAAGATACCTCAGACCTCCAGGACCATCTCCCAAATGCTACCGAAGAATCATCAAGGATCTACTCGGTGGTGAAATGGGAATCTGATGGAATCCCTAAATTGTCCTTGATTTGTACGGATTTTTGCAGTTGAATATGAATTGAGGATTTGGATGACTCACTACCGTGTGATTCTGAGTTTAACTGCACGTGAGAGGCCTTTAACAGGAGCGTGATCGGTTTTTTTTATTTTTGTTTGTTGACGAGCGAACGGATGTGGCCAAACATGGGTGCCCACGTCCAAAAATCGTTTTCCCAATCTTTGACAGACCCATGTCATTTGTTAGGCTAAACATTACGTATGTAAAATGTAAAGCAAATCGGAGACATTCGTCATTGGGATTCCAACTTTGTCGCTTTCCGCCGCTGGTGGACTCTTCCTGAAGCGAGCGAACGATTGCGCATTTTCCATGGTGCTTGGATGATTATCGCACACCTCATCAGAATCATAAGTAAAACTTTCCCATGTCTTAAGCGACTTAAAGGACTAGCAAGAAGTTTAGAATTCTTAGAGCAGGAACATCGGACGCGGGTCAATCCAAATAACATCCCCATGAATTGAGGTGATGCTTGTTTTGAGTTCTTGGCGTGCACAAATGGTCAATTACATGTGTCAGCTCACGGGATAACTTCATTAGCCGAAGCGTTTGATCGTCCAAGCAGGGATCCAGGTACAGCTTGAGGAGGACCTTGGTAGGGCCTGGGGTCAACTTCTCTGGATTTCTACATGGTAAGTAAGTTGGCTTCTATGTTGTTGTGCTCGCTTCCTTGGCAGTTCTTTTAAGTTTTCTTGCACGTTTTCTTTTTTTTTGTTCAACATCCAGCTGACAACGAAAAGAACACACATCACACTTCTGCCTGGATCGACCAAATTCCTGACCGTCCAGACCTTCGAAGGGCGACTCAGTACGATTCTTTTAACCCTCAAATAGAGGATCCTTGGACCGGAAAATTTTCAAAAAGCTTCCTAGCGACGGCCTCCAACCTAAAAGCGACCGCCTCCAACCTAATAGCAATGGTCTCCAACCTACTAGCGATGGCCTCCAACCTAAAAGCGATGTCCTCCAACCTATATAAAAGTGATGGCCTCCAACCTATATAAAGGCGATGTCCTCCAACCCAAAAGCG